CAAGCAAAGTCTTACTGAGCTTCCTTCCCTTGTTGCTAGAAGAAAATTTCCTGGCCTCATACCAAACTTTTATTTGCTACAAACGTTCTCCTAAACCTCAACACTCTTATCACATACTTCTAATTAGTGGAATAGCTGTTTATTTAAAAAGGTGCCAGGGGCACCTGGGTGGCACAGTAGGTTGAGCGTCTGACTCCTGATTTCAGCTCAGCTTATGGTCCCAGGGTCTTGGAATTGAGCCTTGTATCAGGCTCCACACTGAGCATTAAGCTGCTTAAGGTTTTCTCACCCTCCCTCTGCCCCTTTCCCCCACTTGCTCTCTTTAAAATAAAAATTAAGAAATTAAATTAAAAAAATAAAAAGGGGGGTGCCTGGGTGGCGCAGTCGGTTAAGCGTCCAACTTCAGCCAGGTCACGATCTCGCATTCCGAGAGTTTGAGCCCCGCGTCAGGCTCTGGGCTGATGGCTCAGAGCCTGGAGCCTGTTTCCGATTCTGTGTCTCCCTCTCTCTCTGCCCCTCCCCCGTTCATGCTCTGTCTCTCTCTGTCCCAAAAATAAATAAACGTTGAAAAAAAAATTTTTTTTTAAATAAAAAGGTACCAGTTTATTTCATATTTTTATAGTGATTCAGTTTCTTTCCATTGCTTTTTTTTATATTAAACACTTGTGATAATATGCACCTGAATTCATTTATTAGATACGGATAAAGTGTAAATGTTAGTCAACCAAAATAATGGAAAAAGCAGGTCTCCTTTATAGTTTAGACTCAGAACAATTCTAAAGCTAGTTAACATGACAGAAGACAAGCATGATTAATCCTGACCTATAGAAACAACTTGGAGGCATAACTTTTCACTCTTGGCAGGGTAAGAAGCAAAGTAAACGTGTATTTTTCCAAATAAGTAAGTAAGTAAGTAAGTAAGTAAGTAAGTAAGTAAGTAAGTAAATAAATAAAAGCTTTTCACTTATAACAAAAAAGAGTGAGGATTATTTACTTATTATCAGAATTGATAACTTAAGACTACAATGGAGATATGGACAGAAGTATTTTGACAGTGTTTTTTATAAAGAAGCCACCTTGCAGAGAATAAGACTAGGACTGATGTGACAGAAAGAACAACAACAGGAGACCAGTCACCACGTTGATCAGTCCCCAGTGAGTAGCAAAGACATACAGTACCTGTTACACTTTCTGCAGTGATGTGACCGTGGAGCCTTGTATGCTTGGCAGACTTTGCAATACTGGAGGTACATGCTATCCTGAGAATTTTCCTTGATAGCAAAATACAAACAAAAATCCATCAGATATCTGATCCTAAGTAATAGGTTAAGCCTTATGAAAATGCTTTCGTAAGGTTTGATTTTATGGGGGATGGGGATAAGGATGGAATCTGAACTTGCTTATTTCCTGCCCTTTTATCTGAGCAGAAATACTTTTAAATAATGAGTTTCTGGTAACAGCAGCATCACTATTCCAATTACCCAGAAGTCACTTTTCATTTCTCTTCCCCATGCTCCACCCAAACCCATCATCACTGATTGTAGCTGGTTTTACTTTTCCAAAATCTTTGTAGAATCTTTGTAGGAGTTCAGAAAAAAGGTAGCTGTAAACTTGGCAGGTATTTTGAAGTGGATATTCAAACATCAGAGTTGATACTCTTTAGGAAATCTGGTTCCCCACCCCTCCTTGCACTATTTCAATCATTTCAAACTACTGTCCTGTACTACAGTTTCTCTCCAATCCAAACTACTGTCAGAATAATATTCCTACAATATGACTCTGATTATGTCAGAGCTTCACTTGAAAACCTCTAATACCTTCCTATAGTCTAAGAATTCCTCATGTGTTTAAGGCCCTCCAGAATCTGCCTTTGTTTCAGCCTAATTTGCAGTACATAACCCGTCTGTCATTTCAGACTATATGCCTGAAATGCCTTCTTTCCCATTTATGGAAATTTACACTCCTCCTTCAGGTCCACAGCTAAAAAGGCTCACTTCCTTCTAGCTTCAACAGCACTCATCACATTCTTCTCCATAGTGTAATTACTTACACAAGTTACCTTGGTTTCTCTCCTCAATTATAAGATTTTTCAGAACAAAAATTCGTCTTACTCATCTTTGTACTCACTTTAAACAGAACACTAGTGTTTCTCCAACACAATGTACCTAAGAATCATCTGGGGATTTTGTTAAATGCTGATTCTGATTCGTAGGTCTGGAGTGGAGCCCAAGATTTTTCATTTCTAATAAGCTACCAGGTGGTGCCCATGAGCAAGGAATATGGAAATTCATGAGTATAAACTTGCTACAATTTTTAAAAAGCCATAAATTGATTCATACTGTTACTTCCTAATGTTATGATTTTAACATTGATTTGAAAACTACGATTTAAGTCACCAATTTCTAAAGACTTGTTCTCAGTTCTGAGGGCTGTTAATGTATTACATAAAAAAAGATCCTAGGGACGCCTGCGTGGCGTCCGACTTCGGCTCAGGACGTGATCTCGCAATTTGTGAGTTCGAGTCCCACATCAGGCTCTGTGCTGATGGCTCAGAGCCTGGCGCCTGCTTCGGATTCTGTATCTCCCTCTCTCTCTGCCCCTCCCCCACCCACGCTCTCTTTCTTTCTCAAAAGCAAATGAACATTTAAAAAAATTAAGAAAAAAAAAGATCCTAGCCAAATTGCATTGTGAAATTATAAGATCCTAGCCAAATTGCATTGTGAAATTATATGCAGTGGTTCTTAAATTTAGGACTATGGACTCACCAGCCCCTCCATTTTTCTTTTTCTTTCCTTTTAATGAAGTACAAGTATTCAACAAAATCTCTCTGGGAAGTACTGATTTAGATGAATATTTTCAAGTAGATACAAAATAAATTCTTTGACTTTAAATGATCAGTAATTAGAATATGCTTAGACTCTACCAACGCGAAAAGTATGTTGTGTTTGATATTATTGGTTAGCAGATAAATCATAAACTAAATACATGATTATCATTAGAGTTCCTTATCTTAAGAGATCTTTTTCTTACCGGTTTCCACCCCAAAGGGACAAAGCCAGGACCAATAAACATGGCATTGAAGTAATTATAAAGAATCATGACAGTCCAATTTATCAACATGATGAAATTCACGCTTCCTCCAGTTGTATGTAAAGGCCAATACCACAACACAGAGTCAATCATGGCCATCGTAGAACATATTGCTATAACACCAAGGGCTATGATGGGACCCCAGTGACACAGTCTCTTTAATTCTTGGAGATTTTCAAACTTGATAACTGAGCAGAATGCACCCATTTTGGTGAGGAAGAATGCCTTCCTACTTTTAGAAAATCACAGATTTCCTTTTTCTGTGCACACATTTCCATGTGCCACAAGTCCATGAGTGTTCCTTAATTGTCATGCCTTCAAGTTGTGGGATGTTAATGCAGATTATGACATTTCCACTGTTACACACTCAGAGCTCTTTATCTTAACTAGAAGAATCCAGTATCTTGGCTTGAAACCCCATCTAAAGAAAACAAAATGAGAAAGTTCAGTGAAAAAATTTTATTATATACCATATTTAACTCCAATAACCACTTAAACAAAAGCATCTCACATGTGCTATGGAATGAGTACCTTATCAAATGGCAAAAGGAACTGCCAGTAAAACCTTGGTTTGCGAGCATAATTCCTTCCGGAAACATGCTTGTAGTCCAAAGCACTGGTATATCAAAATGAATTTCAAGAACCATTGACTCAGTTGTGACCATGTGACATTCCACATCACCTACTACTCCTATTGCAAGACATTGCTCATTTACCGAGTTAAAATGTATTGGAAATGTTTGCCCCTCTTGCGGAACATTTGCAGAACAAGTTACTCCCAATCCAAGGTTTTACTGTATTTTTATCTGATCCAAAATAGGGCTCAAGTCTGAACTGCGAGTAAACTGGATACGTGATTCTAAAATAGTTGTTTTTATTTCTTTGTTTCCAACCTGACAGGTAACTGTGATTGTCTTTAGTGGGTGGTTGGAGGAGACTGAGAATTTTAGAGCTGGAGCAGGGCTTTAAAGGTTGACTGAATCCGGAAATTGGTTTGGAAAGGCTAAGCGATTGCACAAAGTTCACAAGTAACAGCTGAACCTAGACTAGAAACCAAACCATCTAATTCCTTTCACAGAGCTCTAAACTGCCTCTTGCCGAGTCTCAAAGTGTCAAGTATGAGCCCGGCAGGGTCTACACATTTGCCTGCGGTTGCCCCCAAACCCCAACATAAGGATCTATTTGGGCCAAAGGTAAAGAGGCGAGCGAGTGAAAGCAAAGCCAGAGTGAAAGGAGGGGAGGGGCGGACCGGGGAGACAGAGGTGTGTGCGAAGTCGTGACTGGAGGCACACAAGAGAAGGAACATGGATTAAAGTATTTGAGAAAAAAGACGAGGAAGTGCCTCTGGAGCGAGGGGCAGGGAAGGCGGGCCGGCGAGGGCCGGAAGATCGGTGGAAGGGTATTTCCGACCAGACTGCAGTGAGTCAAGGGAAGAGCTGAGTTACAGGGTAATAACGACTTTCACGCAACAGATGCCATCGCCTTGTGCCTCAGTTTCCCGCCCGTGTCTGGAGCAGAGCGCTTAGAAATCCTCACTCGGGGGAGGACCGTACTGGCAAGCGTGGCTGGTTTCAACCTTCTGGAGATTCTGGGCTCACTCGGATGGGGTGAAGACGGCCAGAATCATAGTTACATCCCTCGCCTTGACTCCCACCTCAGTTTGGTCCTTGGTGCCCGCTCCTCGGCCATCGCATTTCCGGGGCGGCCTGGGCTCACCCGGAACAGGTTTTCTCCTCCTCGGATAACTCCATCATGGGTACCTCAGTCCAGCGCAAGCAGAAAGCAAATCCCGGTTGCAAGAAGCTGGAGTGCGGGACCTGCCCCCACCAGTCTGCCTCTCCGCCAGCGCTCTCACAGCTGCTCTGCTGCTCCCGCCCGGTGCGCGGTCTCCGTAACAGCCACTTCCGGCAGGTTCGCCGCATCAGACTTCCCTCGGGAAGCAGGTTCCTGGGACTTAGAGCTTGGGGAGCCAGAGCCGCTTTCCAGAAAGTGGAGGGGCCAAAAATGCTTCCAGTGATCCATGAGAACGCGCAGATTTTCGAGGCTTTGGGGGGCACTAACAGAAGTGCTTTTCCTTAGCGAATTTTTTTAAATCTTGGAAGTCCGAGCGGGCAATTAAAAACGCATGCAGGCCAATTTCCGGAGGACTGAGATTGCGACGAACAACCAGGAAGCGGCCCGGCTGGGAGCTGTCCCCGGTTCTCCGCTCTGCGGTCGAGGCCGCCTCCGGGGTCCTTACACCGTGTTCCTCTGTCCCGCGTGGCCTCTGCCACGACCTGGGCCTCGGCCCGGGCCGATCACTCCGGAGCCGCCATGTCATCCGATTTCGAAGGCTACGAGCAGGACTTCGCGGTGCTCACGGCAGAGATCACCAGCAAGATTGCGAGGGTCCCTCGACTCCCTCCTGGTGAGAGCCCTGACCCCGGCCGCGCGGGGGTGGCCCCGAGGGCGCCGAGGCTCGCGGGCTGTGGAGCGTCTCTGAGGCGCTAGGTGGTTCAGGGGCCCTTCCGGGGCGAAGCAGTCTGACCTGCTTGAGGGTAAAGGCAGAATCCAGGCTGGGTTGTGGAGTGCCGCGAAAAGAGCCTTCGGTATTTGAGCCTTCTGGGCTGGAATCTGGACTTCGCCGCCTTGTTACTTGTACAACCTTGGGAACGTTTCTCTGAGTCTTCGTTTTTTGTTCTATTTTGTTTTGTTTCATTTGTAAAGTAGAGATGTGAGTATTACAAGAGAATGAATGAACGTACCTAGATCGTAGGTCTGCAATATGCACTACCGTTGTTTTGTTGGTAATAATACTATTACGTTCGGCCAAGTAGGATTAAGAGCTATGGTGCCTGGATTCAAAACCCCACTCTGCCACTTAAGAGTCGTGGCACTTAAAAAGTTTCTTAAACCTCTCTCAACTTTCCTTCTTGGTAAAATGGTGAGAACTGTACATGTCAATAGAGTTGTTGTGGAGATTAAGTGATTTAACATAGGGAAAGCCCTTTTTTGGTGTTAGCTGCTATAATCGTTAGTATTTTTCATACCCCCAACCCCATTTCTTATTTCTCATCCTTCTTGGAAGACTGCAACCCACTTTTATGTAAAACTTGGTACAGGATAATTTTTCTCACTTTTAGGATTCCACATATCCCGTCGAGAAGTGTTCTTGTTCTTGTTTTAGAAGTTTTAGCATATCTTACTTGCCATGCTAATCTGTCAACTCTGAATGTGGGAGCTATGTTTGATTTCCTTGGCATTTACTTAGAAAGAGCTCAAAAAGACGTTTAAGTAAATAAACAGTTGAATACACATATACTTGGGTTTTTTGTTTTTGTTTTTTTATTCTGAGACATTGTTTTAGGATTTATCTTTCTCTAAGTACATATTTAATTTGAGTAGTTAGTTGCAGGTAAGATTGTTACTTGTGGCCTAGTTTTGCTGGGGAAACTGAACTGTTTTCTGCACTTGACCCTACCTTGGCTCTGGGGTATAGTGTGCAGAAAAGAGGGTGCTCACTGATCTGTGAACTAGTGGGCAGCTTCCCTATTCCCGCCTTGTTAGCCAGTCCTTGATGCCAGAATAATTTCTGCTGGACCTAAGTTGTCGTTCTTCTTTCCCTACTTTCCCCAAACTTGTGTGTTTATAAATAATGTTCTTCCTTTATTTCTTCGTTTTTCTTTCCCCTCCCCTGACCCTTTTTCTATTAATAGGGACATTTGCTTGAGACCAGGATCTCTGAACTGACACCCCACTCATCCCCTGAAGTCCCAGTTAGTTCTGGAGAGGTGGATGATGTCTTAAAGAGGTTTATGAGCCCAAGTGAGGGAACAAGAGGAGAGAATCAAGGTGGCGTACCACCGAGCTCTGCTGCCTCAGAGACTTTCGTGGAGAGAGTGGCTGATGGCCTCATCACTTCATGATACATCACCTCGCCTCTTCTCTTCAGTTGCGCTTTTCTCCACTGCCCAAGACCATCTTGATTTTTGTTGTCGGTGTTGCTGGAGGCGACTTCCTTTGACTTGAGTTCCAGAGTCGCAGAGTATCAGGACTTGTGGTTTCAGTTGGATTTTTGTTCATTTTTGATTGTAACAGTTTTAACAAAGAAGCATTTTCTGCTTGGGCGAATAGCTTTTGTGTTAAGAAGGTGTTTTATAAAGTAACAAAGTCATACATGGGTGCAAAGTTGTAAAAGCTGTTTCCAAGAAAACAGTTTTTGTTACAGTTTTCTTCTTCCTCGTCTTTATGTTTTAATGTAATGATTCTTACCATTTTGAAGGAAACCTCTGATTTAGGTACCTTAAAAATAAAGCCTTGACTCACCTTACGTGTAGTGTGGCGTTAGGCCCAAACATAGCAGTTACATTTGGAATTGAAAAAGGACCATAGAGCTGGCACTGGAGAAATGCTTACTGACTTGACTAATTGAATGATAGTAATTCTTAAAAATGTAGTAGTTTTCCTCTTAATAGTTACTTATACTTGCTCTCTTTATAATCTGTTTCTAATTGATAAATAGAAAAAATGAAAAAATATATCCAGTGCAGTTATGAATTTCAGATATGTCTCTGGACCATCAGTGTGTACAGCCATGAGAAAAACAGTATAATTAAAAGTAATTACAGTCCCTCCCCATCAGAACATCATTAGTGGTTGACTTAGAGGAGATGAACTGTAATTTACTTGAGTTAAAAAGTTTACAATTGGAACACACTTCACAGCCAAAGCAGTTTATTTCCCCAACTTACTAACTTATTTAAATGGAAGTAGAGTGAGTAGAATTGATTGCTATGAACTTTAACCTGTGCTGTGCATACACAATGTATTAAAGTGTTACTTCCAGAGAGAATAGAAAAGATGGAGTACTTTAAAACTTTATTTTATAAAAGAAATTTGATTACTCTGTGGTATGTTTTAAAACAATAAAGAGACTTTGTTCCTAGACTGAAGTGTTTGAATTTAAATAATTTTGGTACTTGGACTAATGAAAGAGATCAGTCCCTCTCTTGGTAATATTCTTATGGCACTGTATTTGGAATTTAATTTTAATGATTAGTGTTCGGTGGTAAAGTCAGGAAAATGGATGGGTAGAAACATACCTAATACTAATTGGGAAGTTCCTTTTCTTCTGGTGATGAATCCTAAGTGGGAGGATGCTTTACAGGTACAAAGCTGCCATTACATCAGGGAGGCTTCCTCAAGAATCTTAAATAAAATGTTCTTTTGCAATTATATGCTTACTTCACCATTTGCAGAGAGATAAGTGATCTTTTGTGAATCCTACCACTTTGTGAGATTCACACATGGCACCTGTTCTGCTACTCGCGAGATGTTCAATCTTGAGCAAATTGCTTGGTCCCTTTAAGCCTGCTTCCTCCATCTTTAAATTGGCGAGAGGAGGTAATTGCTTCAACCTTACTTAGAGTGTGGTAAAAATCAAATGAAAGAAAGTCTGGAACACAGTAGCACATTTTGTTTTCACCAGAAAAAGTGCGTGATAAATGAGCTATTAGCGATGTTATTAACACTGCTGAAGAACAGCTGGCAGGGTTAGACAGGACCCAGCTTCTCAGACTTTGTGGTATTAATTAAACTCTTAAAGGAAACTTGGACCTCAATTCTTGCTTCCTTTTCTGCCTAGACTAGAGTTAGGTGAATCTCTCTTGAAGAATGCCTACATTTGAAAGGATGTGAATGATCACGGTCTTTTGGATGTGAAATGGAAATTGGGCTTCGAACTCGTGATATCTAGAAGGGAGGCAGGGAAAAGAAGGGAAAGTGATGGGACAAGACAGGTATCCTTTCTGGAAGAAAATTCTCAAGTCTTGCTCATGAGTTATGCCACTCCTTGGAGGCTTTTGGAAACCATCTAGGCATAGCTGTGAATGGAAGAAGCCATAAATGTTCCATGACTCTCTCTTGCCTCTGTAAGTTGTAGTGTTTGTAGGAGGGAGAATTCAGAAAAGTCTGCTTTTATTTATGAATACTGTGGTTTGCTTAAAATACATGTGGCTCTGGAGCTGTAATGTCCACATGTAGCTACTGGACACTTGAAATGTGGCTGCAGAGCGAAATGATAATATTTTGAATATATTGGGCTAAATATTACTAAAACTAAATATATACATGTATTACAACTAATTTTACTTGTTTATCTTTACTTTTTAAGATGTGGATACTAGAAAATATAAAATTTCACGTGCGATTTGCATGCATTACATTTCTGTTGTTCTAGAGAGTTAGAGTTGAAGAGATGGTTCCAGTTCTAGTTCAGGAACCCGGGTGCACAGTAAATTGAAATAGCTATACTCTAATCCCATACCCACACTCTAATCCCAGAGGGACCTCTTGCCCTTCAACAATTCAGTTAACCTGAGTAAAGCCTTCATTGATTTTTTTAAAATAACTTTTAATTTTAGAACACATTTAGATTTATAGAAAAAAATCACAAAGATAATATAGAGAACCCTGTGTATCTCATGCTCAGTTTTCTTTATTAACATCTTATGTTAGTATGATACGTTTGTTGTTGCAGCCAGTGAACCCATATTGATACATTACAATTAAGAAGTCCATGCAGTACTTTGTTCAGATTCCCTTTTGCTTTGTTTATTCGTTTGTTTTACCTGATGTCCTTTTACTATTATAGGATCCAATCGAGGATACTACAAGACATTTATTAATCATGGCTTCTTATGTTCTTCTTAGCTGTGACAACTTTCTCAGGCTTTTCTCTAGACTTCAGTTTGGAGGAGTCCTGGTAGGACATTCTCTAGAATGATCCTCAGTTGGGATTAGCCTGATGCCTTTCTCGTGATCAGGCTGGAGTTACAGGTTTGGGGGAAGACAGAAATAAAGCATGATTTTCATCACATTCCATCAAGAATATATACTGTAACTTAATTTATCACTACTGATGCTAACTTTGATCACCTGGCTGAGGTAGTGTTTGTCAGGTTTCTCCACTGTAAAGTTACTCTTTCTCCTCTTTTCCATATTCTTTGGAAGGAAACCATATGCATAGCCCACACCTCAGGAGGTGGGCATCAGACTCCACCTCCTCGAAGGCTTAGCATCTGTGTTAATCATTTGGGATTCTCTGCAGGGGAGATTTTGTCTGTTCTTCTCCATTTGCTTATTCCGTCATTTATATCCACGGATTCATGCTTTTATTTTTTTCTTCTCTTGTATTCCAACACTACTTTATTTTGTTGCTCACATTGTTCCAGCTTTGACCATGGGAAGCCCCTTCAGCTGGCTTCTGTGTACTCTTCATATACCCCTATTATTGCAGGTTTGGTTTTTGGTTTTTCCTTTTTAGCACTGTCTTACTCTCCAGGGTACTCCAACATCATCTTGTGCTTTTCCCATACCAGCCCTAGATCAGCCATTTCTACAAGGAATCCAACTTCCTTTTATTGAGAA